TGTGGTGCTGAAGAATTGAACCCAGGGCCTCAGGCATGCAAGGCAAGCGCTCTATCACTGAGCCATCTTCCCAGCCCAATATTGAGTTTTTTATTTTTTAAAAAGCTAGATACAAATTATCTGATCTGGAAAACAAAGAAAACGCAATCTAGTTTCTTTTGCTTCTCTCCACAATATTAAACACTGTCAAATATGGGAAGGGAATGTTGGAAATCTGGGGAATATTTCCCAGATAGTGTGCATATCTCCATTTAGGGAGAGGTAATTGTGTTTTCAGGCCTTGTCTGTTTTGGAGGGCAAGACTCTCTCGGGGCCTTGAGAGTCCCTGGGGTAGGATCTGCGGGCGGGTAGTTCTGAGGGGAGGTAGGAGGGTACAGAAGCACCATTTTAGATGCGGATGACTTGGGTTGGGGGCCTACAGGCACCCCTCTAGAGTGTCTATTCCTTCAGGCTGACTGGTCTTTCCTCTTTATAAATGCAACTCTCTATAAACCCAACTCTGCCACTGACCTGAAACCTCAGGCAAGTCTCATTCCTTCTTGAGTCTCAGTTTCCCTACCCGTAAGAGGAGAACTGGATGAGATATTTACCCAACCTTCAGCCCCCACTCAGGGCCTCCTCCACCCCTTCCCCTCACCCATTATTTCCCAGAGATAAGGACTCTGAGGGGTTGAATAAATAAACAGCCTCACCATCCCAGTTCTGAGCTGCTGCTGAGCTAGCCTGCCAGGCTCCATGTCACCCTGGGTACAGCTCCCCAAGTCCCTTTTCTTGGCCGTATAAGGAGAAAGGAGGACAGAGTTTCACTGACACAGGTTACATGCACAGAGATTGAAGCAAAAGCTCTGGCCGCCAGAAACCTTGGTGACTAACCAAGAACGAGGAGTAAATCAAGTTCCACTCGCCACCTTTGCTTGGTCCCAGCCCAACTCCTCCTCCAGTGCTGGGGCACTGAGGGGAGGCAGCTGTGCTGGGTCTCAGGAGACACCGTGACAGGTCCAGGGGCTTCCTGAGCCTGGGTCCGGAAGTGCATCCCCGATGCTTGCCTCGATCTTCTCAGCCCCTTTCTCCACCAGGAGCTAAGGACTTTGATAGGAATACCCTCCACATGTCCCCCTCCATCTGCTGCCTCCTGTTGGCCTCCTGGTCTCCATGTCTGTGTCCCTACATGTCCTTGTCCCTACATCTTATCTTTTCCTATTCAGCCAGAAGCCATTTTCCAAAAGCACAGCCCACAGCCTTAACCTACCCCATTCAAGGTTCTTTCTCTCTCAACGCCTATCTGGCTTTCCTCCAGGGGTACCCCAAGTCTGGAGTATGCTTCCTTCTTTCTTACCGTTTCCTGCATCGTGTGGTGCCTGGTTTATGCTTCACTATCTTTGATACTGCCCAGCCGGTAGGTCACCCAGACTCTACCTCCTTCCCCTGTTGCCCTGATCCCTGCTCCTGAGCAGGGCTGCTCCCTCCAGCGGACCTTGTGGCTCACTATGACTTGCAGAGCACCCAGTGCAGGCCATGTCTTCACCTGTCTCCCTTCCTATGCAGCATGGGGGTCCTGAAAGGAACAGCTACAGCCTTGTTCACATACAGAGTCCAGCACAGATAGGGAAAGGGACAGGTGAGAAACCACAAGGATCCAACTCAGGGCTATCCCAGAGCTTTGAGAATCACACAGACGTGGGTTTGAATGTGCCTGTGTCTCCTGCAGACACTGTGACCTTGGGTAGATTGTATAGTCTACTTGACACAATTTTATATACATTATAGAGGCATTGTGAGTATTAAATAAGACAATGCAAAGTACCCAGTGTGGACTCTGGCTTGTGGCACTGGCTCATGAACTCTTAGGATAACGTGTGAGTCCCTGTGTACTCATCCTAAGATGCCAACTTCAGTTTACCTCTGTTCTCTCCTTCCATTCCTATTTCCTTCTCCCTCTTTCCCCCTCCTTGCCCCTCTCTCTTTTGTGCTGGTCCTGGGGCTTGAACTCAGGGCTTGGGTGTTGTTTCTGTGCTTCTTTTGCTCAAGGTTAGCTAGCTAGCACTTGAGCCATAGCACCTCTCCTGGCTTTTTCTCAGTAGTTTATTAGAGATAAGAGTCTCACAGACTTTCCTGCCTGGGCTGGAGACTTTCCTGCCTCCTGAGTTACTAGGATTACAAGAATGATCCGCCAGAGGTACCCTCTGTAATCTCTTAAGTGCCCTGTTAGGTAGTCTGTCAGTTTAATGCTTCTGTTTCCATCTTAGGAATAAAGATTCTTTTTTTTTCCTTTTATGTTAGTACTGGGATTTGAACTTAGGGCCTAGAAATCCCCTGAGCTTTTTTGCTCAAGTCTGGTGCTCTACCACTTGAACTATACCTCTACTTCTGGCTTTTTGGTGGTTAATTGGAGATAAGAATCTCACACTTTTCTTCCCAGGCTGGCTTTGACAATGATCTTCAGATCTCAGCCTCCTGAGTAGTGAGGATTACAGGTGTGAGCCACTGGTGCTCAAAAGCAAAAAAAGATTCTTACTATCCACATTTTTATAAGTGGAAAAACTGAGGCTCACAGAAGTAAATATTCTTGCACCAAGGTGTTCGGCCACAGTAAGGTCAATGCTGGAATAGCACTGGCTCTGGCTTGGGCTCTGGGGGAAATGTAGTAATAGGCAAGGCTATGAGCTTGCTGCCAGCACCCTCTCAATGACTGGAGGCCGGGATCCTGTAATCTTTGGGAGTCAGGTTTCAGCTGACTCTAGGTAGACCCACCAAGCCAGAAGTCACAGGCCCCAGGGCCTGGTTAGGGGCTGCTGCTAAGTGTGCTACATGCTGTGTTCCCTCTGTGATGCCCCTCTAGCTTGCAGGAGAGCAGAATCAGCAACAGAAGGGGAGGGAGGTGTTCCACAGAAAGGGCCTGGCAGGTAGAGTTGGGAGTGACCATTCAAGAGATACAGAGTCTCATGCAGTGAGTTCACATGACATGATGCCTCTGGCTCATGTGGTCTCTTTCAATGAATGTCTGAGGCATTCCAGCTTGGAGAGTGAGTTGAGGGTTGCATGTTCATTGTTCCCTGATCAATATACACAACCATCCAGGGCAAGCAAGTTCCCCACACAGGGCCAGATACCTGGCTGGGCACTGGGATATGGAGGTGATGCCAATACAGCACTAGCTTCTGAGAAGCTCACAGGAAAGGCCAGGGACTAGGAAACCACAGAGGAGGGAACACATAGCTCTCTCTTTCAAAGGCTTGGCAGGGCTATGAGGTGGATAGAGAAGGCAGTGGTCCATCGGCTCTCAAGCAAACACAAAGGCCTGATTTCCAGTTTCCACAGTGTTAGCACTCCTACCTATCAGGGCAATTTCAAGGTGCTAACGTGCCACATGCTGACACTGAGGTTGAGCTGGGAAGATGAGATATTGCCCTTCAAGCTGATCCCAGCTGCTCCAGAGCACCAGCCTTCCCCAACAGGACAGTCTCTCCAGGGGACAGAAGGACAGGACATAGAGGACATTCCAGGAGGCAGACAGCATGAGGAAGGGAGGGTGGGAGTAAGTTGAAGAGTTTTCAAAGGGCTGTGACTGGAAAGGTAGCCCCAAACAGCTGGAGGTTGGTGATTTTGTACTTGACCTAGATAGAGGTCCCAGGGGTCATGTGATTTGTCACACTGTACATTTATGATTTACTTACTTTTCTCTTTGTCATATTTTTACAATGAGAAGGTTTAAAAGCATTTAGGTAGATCCATTGTGTATAATTTTGTAATACTTCCTTCCAGTTATTTTATCTTTGCACACATGTACACACCATTCAGCCAAAATTTTCATGTAGGGAAAAAGTCTTTAGTTTTCATTTTCATGTTGGAAGTCACATGCAGCAGTGGAAGGAGTATGAGCTTTGGAGCCAAAGAAACCTGGATCCAAATCCTACTTCCTAAATGCTGACTCTGGGACTCTGAAAAAGAATTTAGCCTATTAGGCTGTTTTCTCTTCTGCAGATGGAGACTGATCATACCTGTATCCTGCTGGGTTTCTATGGAGACCAGTAATGATGGAAGCAAGATGTATTGCATAGAGCTTGGTCCACAGAAGACCCTCATCCACATAACACACAAGGTATTGTTACACACAGCTCTTGCTAGTGACATCCTCTTAGAAAGTAGGGACTTAAAGAATTTCCAGGGGCTGGAAAGGTGGCTCAGTGGTTGAGTGCTTGCATTGCATGCATGAGGCCCTAAGTTTGATTCCTCAGTACCACATAAACAGAAAAAGCCAGAAGTGGTGCTGTGGCTCCAGTGGTAGAGCACTAGCCTTGAGCTGAAGAGAGCTGAGGGACAGTGCCCAGGCCCAGAGTTCAGGCCCCACGACAGACAAAAATTTAAAAAAAGAATTTCCAAAGCGAAATTAGAAACAGAAATAAGAAACAACTAAAATTTTCCCATAGAGAAACATCAAAAGTAAGAAGACTCAAAAGCCTCATGGAATACATTGATTGAAGAAAATGGAGGTATTTGGCCTGGGAAAGAAGGGTCTAGTAGTCTGTGAGATCTCTGCATCAGATGTTCTGGGGCAGCAGAGAACAGAGCCAAATCAACATGCAGAACTTACAAAGCTCATTTGTTCTGGGTCTAAAATATGAGATTCTCAAAGCCCAAGAGTAAAGAAGTGATGTTGGATGTTGAAAGGGGTGACACTCATCAAGATGCACTGTATTCATAAACTGCTTTGTTAAATGGCAACTATTTTGTACAATTACTTAAAGATAATAAAAAGTGTATTTTTTAAAGAAGTGATGTTGGTAAGGGGTGAGCTCCCTACTCCCCCAGGGACACAAGCAGATAGAGCATGCAGTGGGCATGAAGAAGGAAAGTAGCATAATGGAGGGTGTGGGCAGGATAACTATTTAAGTCCCTCACTTCTGTAGTTATTGTCATCTGCTGTCAAGCAGCATGCCAGCAAGTACAGTAAGGTGAGTGGCACACAGTAAAGGACATTCGATGACCCTTGCCCATCTTACCTGGTTATCGATTTTCAGTTCCACGAGAGAAGTGTTGTGTGGCAAAGCTTCCACCAGGCGCAGGATCCCAGCTCCAGAAATGAAGTTGGATTCTACGTTTAGTGTCTTCAACACTTTGTTCACTTTGAGCATGTCAGCAAGGGCCTTGGCCACAGAAGAAAAGCAGGGGGCACACATGAGTCACTCTGGGCAAGGCAGAAGCTCCCCTTGAGTGGATCCACAAATACCAAGCGAAACAGACACGATGGTCTCCAGAACTTCCTTTCCAAGCAGTGCTTTCCCTCCAATCTGCCATTCACCACCTGCTGCTCCTCCCCTGTCCTGCCTAAGACTACCTCATTTTTTTTTTTTTTTTTTTTTGGCCAGTCCTGAACTCAGGGCCTGGACACTGTCCCTGAGCTTCTTTTGCTCAAAGCTAGCACTCATGGGCCACAGCACCACTTCTGGCTTTTTCTGTTTATGTGGTACTGAGGAATCAAACCCAGGGCTTCACGCATACTAGGCAAGCACTCTACCACTAAGCCACATTCCCAGCCAAGTCTGCCTCATTCTGTTCCATTCATCATATGACTCACAGTTCCCTGCACATGCTCAGTGCTTTTCTACCCAGTTACCTTTGCCTACTCCATCAGTACCATCTGGAATTTGGCCAAACTTTTCCTTCAGTTGGCCAAACCCTGGCCATCCCTTCAAGGCCCTTTGTAATGTCCCTTTCTCGAAGAGCTTTTGATGACATCCCTACTAGCTGTAATCAGCCCTCTTGAACTTCACAGAATTTATCCCAGAGCTCCCTTGAGGAACTTCTACTCCTTGGTTTACTGTTGTTTTTATGCTAATGTGGGCCCGTTAGACTATCTTTGGTGGGCTGGAAAAGCCCCCTTAACATCCATGTTGCCCATAGTGCTCATAGAGAAGGTTTTTAGGCAATGTATAGTGGAGTTTCTACCTTCTCTGTGTTCAACTTGTCTCTTCTAATGTTGCTGTTTCCTTTCCCAGAGAACCAGAGAGCAGGGCTGGAAAACCACCCCACTCAGAAAGTGACCAGAGCCAGTTCTGGGAGCAGAGCTCAGATGGCCCTTAGCACGTTTCAGAGGGCTGCAGCCAGGGGGTGTAGATGACAATCAGAGCCTCTGAAGAGAATGAGGTAATTAGCAGTTGGGGAAAGTGACGCATCATGGGGAAAGATGACACCAGCCACTGAGGGGACAGGGGTATTGTGATCAGTGGGTCTGGCTGTCTGAAGGGACACCAGGAATGGCTGCCCTGTAGTACTGACCCTGCTAGCTAAAACCATGAGAGAGGCTTAGTCCCCTGTCAGACTCTCATTCTGAATTGTATCTTCCTGGACGGTCCTTTTCCTGAGAGTCCTGAGACAGTGTGTTCACCATTCCTGTGACCATGCCTGTCTTCTGAGCAAGTTGGCTCTTCCTGAGGGGATCTGATTCTGACCTCTCTGGGTCTCCACAAGACCACTTGGCCTTCCACTAATGCACTTTAACAGCCAGTGGGCCCATGTCCCCAGCAGCTAGCCTGCTTATGCTGGAGGTTGAGTGGGTCCTGGATGCCCTGCCTTGCCACATGTTAACTTCTGGTGTACTAGATCACATGGAGGACTAAGGGTATAGGAGATGAGCCAGGCAAGGCAGTGAAAGGCACTTTCAAGGCACTGGCAGCCTGATGTAGCAACTGACCTAAAGGTGTTTCAGCACTGAACAATAGGTACTCAAGTGCAAATACACTGTCAGTCTAGCACAGAGTCTGTGGCCAAAAAACATTGGTGGCATTGAGCTGAGTGGATATGCCTGGTTTCTGGTCCATGACTTAGTAATGTTGGAATCATATAGTGTTGCCAGCTATGTTGCCATGGGTGAATGGGGACCCACTGACGTCAGATAGCCTCAACCTAGAAGTTTCCTTTGGCAGCTGTGAAAGACTCAGCTGTTTTTCTCATTTCAATAATATTGAAGAAAGGGACCCTACTTGTTTTAAAAATCAGAAAAGAACTGGCTTCTACTAAATGGCTGATTACCACCTCTGGGAAGCAAATTCCTGCTACTAGTGGTGTAGTCACTATCTGTGTGGCTATGCTTTAGTGGTCCGCTCAGCCAAATGGATGTGCATGCTTGGGAATGCACTGGCCACAGTTGGAGTCTCAGAAACCAATTCAGTGCCAATCATAGAGAAACTCAAGAAGTGTGTATTGAATATTTTTTTAAAGAAGAATACATAGTGCCTTTACAAAAAGTACAATTTGATATGGTTAGTGATATTTTTTAAGACATGGACAAAAGTAAGCAAAATGTTCATTGGAACCTCCTGATGCACACAGTGATTTTATCTTTTTTTATTTTTATTTTTATTTTTACTGGGGCTTGAACTCAGGGCCTGGGTACTGTCCCTGAGCTTTATTTAGTCAAGGCTAGTGCTCTACCACTTGAGCCACAGGGCCGCTTTCACACAGTGATTTTAGAAATGGAGAAACCGAGGCCCAGAGGACAGGGCCTTGTCTAAGTATGATGTGCTGGGCTTTACAATCTAAGGGAGATGTTACGATCAGAGTGGTTTCATTAGATCCTAAGTCTGTCAGTCGAGCACTTGCTGGGTGACTTTGGACAAAGCAAGTTGGCTGGCCTTTCTAAATTCTAGTTCTCCTCTCCATATGTAAAGGGTGGAGGTCCATGCTTCTGATCAGGGTCAGTGTAAGACTTAGCTGGACTGTTGAGAGGGTGACAGTGTCCTGTTCACATCCCCCTTTTTTTTCCTAGCCCTGTCTCTTCAGTCTATCACACAGAAATTTTCAGTAGTGGAACATTGCTAGTCCTGAGGCCGAAAGTATAGCCCTTCTGTTGCCCTGGTATCAACACAGAAGAGTAGCAGTACTTACAAATGCCACAGGGTCATTGCTCCGGGTCCCAACAATGCTGAACTTTTTCACATAGGAGTTTTCTTTCAGAGCTTCTGCATATGCTTTGAGGGTGGGTATGGGGATATTCTGCAGAAAGAAAGAATGGAGAGTGACTAGCAGCCCAGCCTGGGGCAGAGGAGAGGCAGGATCTCTTTTCCATACTTAGCCTGACTCCTCTCCACATCTGGGCACAAGGTTGAATGAGGTGATCACTGAGACTTAAGAAGAAACTTCTGATACACACATCTCCCCTGAAACTTTGAGATAAGACCCACAACTCTCTTCTATGCATGGAGTTTTGAGGAGTATTTTTCAAAGGGCTCAGGACGAGGGGAGGAGCGGGGCTGAGCTCCCTACCCACCAGTGACCAGTGGTGTGTCTGACCCCACTCACTCTGTGACTCTCTTTCTTTTTGAGAACAGAAGTAGGGGCTGCACTAAACACTCTCTAAGAGGCATTTGCCCTCAGATGGTCTCAATACTAGTGGCACATCAATTGCTTCTGACAACTTGCAAATGTGGATTCTTAGGCCTATTCCAGACCATCACAGTCAGAATCTCAGGGGTGGCCCTGGGCATTGACTGAGGGTTTTTTTTGTTTGCTTTTTGGTTGTTGGTGTTTTAATCTCTTCAGGTAAAAAGTATCACTGATCTGGTTCAACTACCTCAAGGTACAGCATATGCTGTACCTTATGGAGGCTTAGAAGGATCACTGAGACCTCATGGTGAGGTCCTACTACCCTCCTGTCTCAGGTGGTATTCACTGCCAGAATCTACAATTCTGAACTGCGCCACTGTCTCCCTTGGTACTCAGCAGACAACTGAGGCGCCAGGCAAGAGCCTGGCTGTGCTTTTTGCCAAGCTCTCATTTCAGGGTGTCACTTAAGCTCCCATGGGAACAGAGCAGGGGAGCCAGGAGGAGGAGAACACTAGGGTACAGGTTCCAATCAGATTGTGCTCAGGGCTGGCAGCCGCTGAAAGGAAAGTGAAGCAGAAAGGAAAGAGGAGCAGGAACAGGGGCTCACTTCTTGTCTTACACCCCCCCCCCCTCCCTGAACTAATCCCATTGGCCTTGGGCCTGAGCAGGTGGAAGGCAGCTGTGCCCGCTTCTGCATTCTTCCCACAGCCTGTCCAGGGTGGGACTGCCATCCACCTGTCCCTACCCTGCCCTGATAGTCACTCAGGAAATGCCCACAGAGATATGGCAGGAAGCTCAGGCGTTTCTTTGGGCACTTAGGTCAACAGCTCCTTTGTATGGCTGTAAAATGAGGTTGCCTATGAAGGTAACCATTCAGCAGTAGCAGTGATGGGTCAAGGATAGGGACGGCCTGGGGTTTGGTGACTCTGTGAGCTTGGTGTGCACTGGACTTTTCCAGCTGTGAGGTCCTGTGCTTCAGTTTTTGTCTGACTCATGATTTTATCCCAGAGAATCTCTGTGTTTTGAATAACATGGCAGGTTTCCAGGTTGACCCAAGATTGGCCTGTGGTGAACATCTGGGACTAATGATTGCCTCAAGAAGAAACCAAGACTGTGTGTAGGATGCACTTGTTCACACGTCCTCCCTCAAATGTTCACCTGTATTCTTCTAATTCAGAAAAACCTGGAGTCCAAACAGGACCCCGTTCCTCTGCACAGCCTGGGATGTTGGCACCAACTTAACCCTCTCCACCTACTCACACACAGGTGCGGTGAAATAAAGAGGCTTTACCCGGATATTATTGAGGTTAACCTCTTCAAGTTCTGGGTCATTGTTCTTTATCCGCTCCAGTGTTTCCTCTACATCTGTTGAATTTGGTTCTTCATCGGGCACAGGCTTGTATTGTGTTGGTTTAATCACACCTAGGGTAAGCAACAAAAGGAAGGTGGCTCACTTTCTCCCAATGCAAGGAAAAGAAACATTGTCAAGGGTTCAGGGCATGAGAAGGTGGGCTACTAGGGGTGATGATGTGCCAATGCAGTTCTGTCGGGAGTCAGGGGTCTGGGTTTGTGAATGCTGCCTTTGACTTCTTATAAGAACTGGGTAAATTACTTCAATGCTCTGAACTGGAGCCCTCACTTATAAAGTGTGCACAATCATTCTATCTATGTTCATTACCTCAGTGGGCTCTGGTGAGAATGAGATGTAGTCTGGGTGGGAGAGAAACACTAGTCATCTTCCAAAAGGGAAGGATAATTACTCTATTGGCATCCTCATTTCTCTATGGGGCCAAAATGTCTGCTTGGAACAATGCAGTAGAGTAATTAAGACAATGCAATAGTGGCTCAGGAAAGGACAAAGTGACTTGTGAGACAGAAGGTAGAAATTGATAATACATACAGGTGGAGGCTCACATTAATGGTGAAAGAATACATTTTGCAAAGAATGGTGTGGGAATAATTGGATATCCATTAAAAAAATGAAAGTTTAATCTCTTCTTAAAGTACACACAAACATGAGCAACTCTAGGTGGATTAGAGGTTGAATATAAACCAAATGTTGGGGCTCACACCTATATCATAGAAGCTGAAATAGAAAAGGCTATGTTTCAGGCCAGCTCAGGCAAAAGTTCACTCCATTTAAAAGAAAGAAAGAAAGGAAGGAAGGAAGGAAGAAAAAAAAAAGAAAGCAAGCAAGAAAGAAAAAAAGAAAGTAAGAAAGAAAGAAAGGAAGAGAGAGAAAAAGAACTAAAAACAATAAAGGGTGAGGTAGAGTATTCCTGTCATTCCAGCTAAGAAGGAGGTATAAATAGGAGGATCACAGATCAGGTCTGAGGAAAAACAAGAGACCCTATTAAAAAAACAAAACAAAACAAAAGATGGGCTGGGAAGGTGGCTCAGTGGTAGAGTGCTTGCCTCACATGCATGAGGCCCTGGGTTCAATTCCTTAGCACCACATAAACAGAAAACGCTGGAAGTGGTGCTGTGGCTCAAGTAGTAGAGCACTAGCCTTGAGCTGAAGAGCTGAGGGACAGCACCCAGGCCGAGTTCAAGCCCCACGACCCACCAAAAAAAAAAAAAAAAGAAAAAGGGCAAGATGCATGGCTCAAGCAGTAAAGAGGACCTACATAGCAAGAGTGAAGCCTAGTACGGCAAATAGTAAATAATTAAACAAACAAACAAGAAGTTGGATATAAGGAGTAAATGTCTAAAACCTTTGGAGGGAAATAGGATTTTAAGATAAATAAGGCCTTTGTAAACAAGCCATAAAATCCCAGGAGACTGAAAGGAAAACATGGCTACATTTGGCTACATAAAACTTTAGAACATCTGCAGTGAACAGAATATCAAGAGAACAGAGAAAGCCAGAGACAAGGACTAGTCTCTCTTCCAAGGAGCACTCTGTGAACCAGCCTTGGGGCCCAGTGAGGGTGGGGATGCCAGGCAGTGAAGGGCTCGTACGTACTGTTTAGTCCTTCCTTGTTCACGATGGAGCTGCTTCCCAAGGCTTGGTAGTACTGCTGGTTGCTCATGAGCGTGTGCATACCCAGGATAGCTGTGGGAACAAAGAAAGGAAGGCCTATGACTCCATTCTTGCTGAAGCTGCCTGGGAACACACCTTCCACACCTCAGGAGCTTTGCTGGTAAGAAGCCCTTCCCTGGAAGTGTAGTAATATGGTGCTATTTCTACTCTCACTTCTGTCTATGTTACTTGCAGACCTCCATCCTGCCCACAGATGGTCTCCCTGTGGTCCTACCGGCAAGTCCCATCCAACTTGGCCTAACACAGAGGAAATCTTTTTAGCCAAGGCCTCTTCCTATGCATGCCCTCCCCTCTTCCACCTGTCTGTCCCTAGGGCAGCACCTCAGCTATCTGGCATTCTCTCCTCCAAGCCCATTAGCCCCCCTTCACCCAGATCTCTCTGGGATCTCACCTCCCCTGAGAAGACCTTAGACCTCATTAAGAACTTATCATATCTTGGCTATACAGATAATCCTTGGCTTTACAATGGCTTGATGTGGGGATGTTCCACTTTACAAATGATGTGAAAATGAAACCATACTTTGATTTAATTTTAATCTTTTCCCAAGCTAGCAATATTCTGAAAGGTATTCTGGGCAGAGGCAGTGAATCTGAGTTCCCAGCCAGCCTCACAGTTACAAGGGGAAACATCTGAGACCCTACAGTCCAAGTGGGTTGCAAAGCTACAGTGTTCAGAAGGCCAGAGTATTAAATGATTGTTTGGCTTACAGTATTTTCAACTCCCAATTGTGTTATTAGGACATTACCTCATCCTTGGTGGGAGAGCTTGCATATTGTCATAGCCATGGAATCTCAAGTGTCCTGGCCTCAGTCTTTCCTTCCATTTCCCCACATTCAGCCCAGAATAGCCAGAAAGATCGTTCTGAATATGCCAATACAATCTCATCATTCCTATGTCATTCTTTCATCCATTCATTTGTTTAACATTTACTGAGCACTAGCTCTTGGGGTGCGGGGATGGAGAAAACAAGAATGTCAGGGTCCCTGCCCATGTAGTTGATAATCTGTTGGAGGACAGAAGCACTAAGCAAATGCTCATACTATTAGAAATGTAAGCACAGGTATGACAATGTGTTCTGGAAGGGTATTAAGGAGGGACTTGGGAAGAGAAGGATGACTGAATGTTGCCAGAGGTAAGCAGTGAGGTTGGAGCTTGGGGCAGATAGGAAGAGAGGCAGAGATGAAGCTGGATAATAACAAGGATGGCAAGGGCACCCCATATTCCACACTCCTGAGTGATGCTCTGGATCATCGAAGACACTTTGTCTGCCCACCAGAATCACTTGGGCATCTTTTAAAACTCTTTATGTTGGTGTTTTTTTTTTTTTTTTTTGTCAGTCGTGGGGCTTGAACTTTGGGCCTGGGCACTGACCCTGAGCTCTTCAGCTCAAGGCAAGCACTCTACCATATTTGAGCCACAGCACCACTTCCAGTTTTCTGGTGGTTAATTGGAGATAAGAGTCTCACAGTCTTTCCTACCTGGGCTGGCTTTGAACCAGAATCCTTAGATCTCAGCCTCCTGAATAGCTAGGATTACAGGTGTGAGCCGCTGGTGCCGGCTCTTTTAAAACTCTTGATGCCAAGGCCTGAACTAACAAATTGGTCTTGGGAGGTGAAACTCAGGCATCTGCAATTTCTTTTTCTTTTCTTTTTTGTGTGCTGTTACTGGGACTTAGACTCAGGGCCTCATGCTCTCACTTAACTAAGACTGGCATTCTCCCATTTGAGCTGCCACACCTCTACTTTTGGCTTATTTTTTTTTTTTTCTGGCTAATTGAAAATAAGAGTCTCGAGACATTTTACCGCCCCCCCCCATCTCCCCACCTTTTTTTTTTTTTTGGCCTGGGCTGGTTTCAAATAAAATCCTTAGATTTCTGTCTTGTGAGTAGCTAGGATTACAGGTAGGAGCCACTGGCATCTGGTTGAAACCTGCATTGTTATTATTTGTGTGTGTGTGTGTGAGAGAGAGAGAGAGAGAGAGAGAGAGAGAGAGAGAGAGAGAGAGAGAGAGAAAGAGAGAGAGAGAGAGAGGCTTAAACTCAAGACCTTGGCACTGTCTCTTAGCTTTTTTGCTCAAGGCTGGCACTCTGCTACTTGAGCCACAGCTCCACTTCCAGCTTTTTGGTGGTTAATTAGAGGTAAGAGTTTCACAGATTTTTCTGCCTAGGCTTCAAGTCAGGATCCTCAGATCTCAGCCTCCTTAAAAGCTAGGATTATAGATGTGATTCACTGGTGCCAGTTAGGCACCTGCATTTTTTTTTTTAAAAAAAACTTTTTTGCTGTGATTAAGTGATTACATAAATTTCACAAATTTCATAGTATTCTGAGATAGTGATACTTAAAGTCACAAACACATTTTAACCTTCATGAGGCAAATTATCATTATCGTGGTCTATAAAGTTTGTGAATTCTATAAGCTTTGACAATACAGCTATTTCTTCCACATTGGGTGATACATACATTTCTTTCCTTTTGCTTAGTATTAGCTGTTCCCTCTATCCCTCTCATTCCCTCCCTCCCATCGCTGCCCTTGAGTTGCTTAGTTCATTTTCATCCATGTCCAGTGCAGCTGATGGGCCCCTCTGTTGTATGTTTTCCCCTGTTTCCCTCTGATTCTGTATCTTCCTCCTACTTTTCCTCAGATGTGCATATCTATACCATATATGTGGTCTACAGCATGGGGTCATTTACAACAAGATGAGTGGAGGTCCTTTGTTTTTCTAGTCCTGATTACTTTGTCATATCTCCTTGCAATTTGTATTTAACATCCACATATCAGGTAGACCAGAGGCAACTGCATTTTGTTTTTGTTTTTGTTTTTTGGGTGGTTGTGGGGCTTGAATTCTGGGCCTGGGCGCTGTCCCTGAGCTCTTCAGCTCAAGGTTAGCACTCTACCACTTGAGCCACAGTGCCACTTCCAGTTTTCTGGTGCTTAACTGGAGACCAGAGTCTTATGGACTTTTGTGCCCAGGCTGGCTTTGAATCATGATCCTCAGATCTCAGCCTCCCGAGTAGCTAGGATTACAGGCATGAGCCATCAGAGCCCAGCAGGCACCTGAATTTTGAAAAGCTCCTTTGACTATTTCGATAGCAGACAAGGTTGAGAACCATTGCCTATCACTATATCTTTAATCCCTGTGACACCCAGATTCACACAGGCAAGGCAGGGTCTTTTGAGTGAGATGAGGAGTTTAGACATCTTTTCCTGGGAAGAACCTGGGTGGGAAGTCACTGAAGGCTTGATCAGGGACTGAGATGGGCTGACCCCAGTTCTGACAATGTATGAAGAACTCACTATGCAGGGAGAGGTAAATGTGGGTTCAGGAACTGGAAGGCTTCTGTGGCTGTCTAGAGGGAGTGTGATGATTTCTGAAGACTAAGTCCAAACTCCAGAGTCTGGCTCCTTGGCTCTCCTGAGCTGGTCCTGCCTCAACAGCCTTGCTGTTCACTCACATCCTTCAGCTTTAGTGACACAAACCATTCTTGCGCTTCTTTTGTCTATCTTGAGCCTTCTGCTGGTGATTCTCTACACCCAATAAAACCAGAATTTCAGAGAGACAATGAATAACCATGCCCACCCATTTTCGGAATATACTTAAAATATTTGTCACTGTTTACCTAAAATTCAGATTCAACTAGACATCCTGCATTACGTATACCCACTCTTCCCTCCTTCAAGACTTGGGATAATCCTTTTCCTCCAGGGAGCCTCCATGATGCCTCTCTGTCTCTAGTTCTTCCATCAGCCTGGTATCCTTATTTCACAGAGTACTCCTGGCATCAATACATGCGTACTTCCTCTGTTGGACTTTGGGCTTCCAGAGGTCAGAGAAGAACATTAATATTCCCTGCCCCCCAATATGATAGGTGTTTTCTCAATAGTTGGTGGTGTTTTGTTATTTTTAAATCCTCAGTCATTTCATTAGATAGTTTCCAGTTAGAGAGCCAACATGAGAATTCTTAATGAAGGGTCAGAAGACCCACGTTCCAGTTCTGCATGTCCCCCAGTGTGACTGACCTTGGGCAAGTTCCCTCCCCCTAGGCCTTCTCAATCCAACCAGAGGAAATTTGAGACCCAGTGGTTCTCAATCATGATCCAACATGCAACTCTCTGGAGATATGTTTTTTTTTTTAACTTTCCTTAAATGAAGTTTGAGACAGGGCCTGCTCTGTCCCAGGCTGGTCTTGAACTCGCAATCCTTCTGCTTTAGCCTCCTGAGTGCTGGGATTACAAGTGCGTGCCTTTACGCTCTCTGTTCCTTAGGTGATTGTCATGCTTTGTGGGAGCTGAGAACTATGAGGTGATCTCACAGCCCCGTCTGTTCCTCACACCCCAAGTCTTCTCAGCTAAAATTAGACTTGCCTGGTCATCACTCAGGAGGACTGGTAGGGAGAGAGGCATCTGCAGCTTTTTCAGCTCTCCGGGTTTTAATTTAGGCTGTGTCTGTGTGGGCAGAAGGAGTGGAGGCTGGGGCAGAGCAAGTGAGTCACATTAAGCTCCCCACCACTGCAGCTTCCGGCAGCTCTGGGCTGATGCTGGGCACAGGTATGGAACAGAGTTTGGGAAGATTGTTGGGATATGAAAAATATAACCTGCTATTGGCTGTCTGGTCTCCCTTAGCATATAGGGAGGTGGAAAATGGAAAATGCATTTGCTGCTTAGATGACAGGGCCCTGTGATGGGCTAGCGAGGGGTGCAGAGGCAGCAAAGCTACAAAAGGACCTGGAGCAAGGAGCCCCGGGTTTCAGTTTGAGCCTTGGTACTACTTTTCTGGATGGCCCTACACAAGTCAATCCCCTGTGGGGGACTTTAGTTTACCCAGCTGTAAAATGGAGTGAATTTAAATGCCAGACATTGCTCTTCCCATGGGACTTCACAGTCACTAGCACTCTTCCCGTTTCCATCCTGGCTATGTTTTACAATGAGCATCCAGGGCTAGCACTGACAATCTCCCATTTTCCAGGATTTTTTTTTTTTTTGCCAAAACTTCTTAGCAAGGATTCTCTAAGTTAATATTCTAACCACTAGGTCACTAGCTGTTCTAGGGTTCTAAAACATCTCATCAATCTGAAAATTCTGCAGACTGCTAACATATATTCTAGGAGGTAAATTACGTCAATAGCAGTCAATAGAAGGAATAGGACCATTTGACAGCTCAAAGGAAATCAGGGTTCCCAAAAGGAGGAATGGAGAAGAGGAAGAAGCACACCTGTAATCATAGGTATTCAGGAGGCTGAGCTCAGGAGGATCAAGAAGCAAAGCCAGCCTGGGCAGAAAATTCTATGAGACAATTGTCTCCAATCAACTTGAAAAATACTGGAATAGAGGTGTGGTTCAAGTGGTAGAGCACCAGCTGTGAGAGCCAAAAAGCTGAGCAAGAGCTCAAGACCCTGAAGCTAGCCTTACCTTCCAGTGCTCTACGTACAAATGGTGACTTCTTGTCTGATGGTCAGATAAGTTGATGTTAAGTGAAATGAACCCCAAGATAAGGACTCAAATGGTTTTTCTTTCTTGCTACTGTTTCTAACATATTTATAAGATGATTTCTTTTTTGCTTTGTATGTCCCTCCCCCACTGTATAACCCCTATTTTCACTGTATTTGATGTTGGTATAATTTGGGGAGGGGAAGGGAAAAAACAAATTGTTTAAATAGGGATACAGGTGGACCCATTGCAAAAATGAGATGTACAAGATGTTATGTTGAAAAATGAACTTTACAACTTTGGCGGGGAGCGGGGGAGGAAGGGGGCAGGGATGGTAAGGGGAAACAAAGGAGGAGGCAACAATGCTTGATAAGAAATGTACTCATAACTTTGCTCATGTAATTGTAACCCCTCTGTACGGTATTTTCACAATAAAAAAACTTATTAACAATAAAAACAAAAAACAAACAAAAAAAAAACCAAATGGTGACTTCTTCCTCGCTTGGTTTTGTGCTCCCTATGCTGCCAGGAGTGAGCAGAGGAAGAAAACTTTCCTGACACAGCCTGTTATTTCCTTCTTTGTAGATATTGGCAAGGCTGAATTTAGCACTGGAAAACTTGATTTCTTTCTTTTTCTCTCTCTCCTTTTTAAAAAGTCTAGATCTTCCTCAAAACTCAAAAAAAGAACTATTTTTGAACCCTGAAAAAGAACATTGAGTTCTGCCTCCTCTCTGCCTTGGCAGGGAGCACTCCGTTTGTAATTCCACTCGGACTCAGAGTGATAACTGCACACATCCCCAGCTTTACCAGCTGCCAGTAGCTTGGGCCAGCCCTGAGCAGATGGCCGCAAGGTGTGTTCCTGCATCCCAAGGCCAGGTGGAGAAACTGGCTCCAACTCAGGTCTCGGGTGCCATTTTGGGTACCATGGAACTGTCCCTGGATAGGCCACACCAGACAGAATAGGAAGAGAACAGGTGCCTGATGAGACCACACAGGACTAGGCTGGGCCTGCCTAGAAGCCAGGGCTGCCACAGAAGCTAGGGCTAGCCAACAACTGGGAGAGGGTGGCCAGCAGGTCCCCTATCTGGAAGATGAGTCTCTTATCCTACTCCCTTCCTTATCCTATCCCTCTGGAAGTGTCCTCAAGGGCTGTCAAGACTGCATTCTGATTGTGCACAGGAGGCCCTGAGAATCCCAAGTGTGTATAGATGATTCCCAATGGCCTCTGAGCTACAATCCAAGGCCACATGACACTGTCAGGGTCCAGTGAGCTCTGCTCGGCACCCTGTGAGATACTTTCGATCTTGGTGGTGATGCCTTCCCTGTAAGTGGAGCACATGAGCCAACAGTGACCTACAGACCCTTGGCTTTCTCTCCCTCTTTTCTTCTTCTGATGAGTCATGCATAATACTGCTCCACCCACCTTATCCTTGAGGAAGATTCTGAGCCTGGACTGCCACTGTGGTGGTTCTAAAAATCCCCAGTGCCTTCAGCCACTGGTTCAGAGAAACTTTCCTTCAGTCACCCTGTTCTGCTTTCTGTCACCTGTAGCCACAATACCTGTCATCCTCTGGGACCCTCGATATCTGACCCAACACTGGGAACAGCAGTTCTCTTGGCATAAGATGGGGGCAATAGTAGAACGTGTTTATAGGATTGCTAAGAGTGGATAAATGCAACATGGTCCTGAAAACAGCTCACACAGTACCTGGATCACAGGCATTGCTCAGCAAACTTCCCTTCCCTCCTTCCCCAGAGGCATTGTCACCTTCCAAAGGAAATCAGGGACAGCCAGTCAATACTGGTATGGACCCACAGCCTCCTGCTCCTTCTAGGACATCAAAAGGGTATGGAATTGTGGACAAATCATAACAATTAGCCCGCCAACAAAAACAAAGAGAAATAGTTTCGAGAAAGCAGCACACAGAAACTCGGCACAGCGTGACAGTTCTGTTTTGGCTCAGGACACAGCAGGAGCTGGCCGTTCTGACAGCAGTCATTTGATAATTCCCCCAAGCCAGCAGGCTAATGAGGAGAGTGACGTCAGGCAGAGGATCAGAGGGAGCAAGGCCAGGATAAAAACAGCTCCCCTCAGGGGAGTAAACATGGAGAGAGGACAAGGCATCAGGCCTCCTGATGATAGCACCGACTAACCGGAAGTCATGGGGACCCTCACCAGAAGGTGGGGGTGTACTGTAGGATCTGAGAGGACTCAGGTGGCTCCTGTCAAAATTCATCTCTAACTGGGTACCAGGGTCTCACATACTGTAATCCTAGATACTTAGGAGGGTGAGATCTGGAGGATTATATCTCAAGGCCAGCCTGGGCAGAAAAGTTCACTAGACTCCATCTTCAGTAATGAACCAGTAAAATGCAAGTCTGGAGGTAGGGCTCAAATGGTAGAGCACCAGCCTAGCAAGCATGAAGCTTTGAATTCAAACCCTAGTACTACCAAACCAAACAGATCATCATACACTACCAAGCAACCCAGGTTGTGTCGTGTTCAGTTCTGCTGTGTTCTGATCCTGTTAGGGTGCCGTACTTGCCCTTCTGTGCTACAAAGTGAGAAGCACGTTCTCCTGGCCACCCAGCCTTCTGCTATGTCCTTGTCCTTCCTCATAGTATTTGCCTCTTGAGGGAAGGGCTGTGTGGACTCAAGTATGGAGTTGAAGTCACTGCCCTCCCTCATGGCCCAAATGCAAGGGAGCAGTGTCCCCAACCCCTGCCCCATCTGAACATCATGAGGAGTCGTGCACAACCCTGAGAGGCTTAAAGGCCAGAAGACAGTATAATCGAGTCATATACAGCACCCCCAAGAATCCAAGAGGCCAGCAAACAGGATAACATAGAGCAGCTGCAGCCCCTCTGGCCTCTGGTCTAAGTGTATCAGAGTCTCCTGACTACTCTTGTGTCTCCTTGGCTCTTTAAATAGCTCTACCTATCTCGACTCTGCTTCTGCTTCTCAGATTGTGGTTGACTGCCCATAGTAGGTTTGTCTCATTTCCATGACACTCCCCCCGACTCCCTATCCCAAGGCTCATCCCTTGGCCAGGCCCTGGACCCTAGAGCTCAGGCCCTACCTGACCCATGTTCTGCTATGTAGTAGAAAGCACACTAACTGTACTCAGCTCACCATCTTGAACAGGTACCCCTTGAAGAGCAGATCATCATATACAAACACCTGGGTGGCCCCCTGGGTGGCCTTAAGCATTTCCTCTGTCATTAAAAGCACCAATATCCACCTAGTCACTGGGGTCAAGTGTCTCCGCTTCTCCCTGGACCTCAATCTCAGTGGGTCCCTCCTTTCTTCTCTCCTACCATTGGCTTTTGGCATCTTCCCTACTTCACCAGGCTCCTGCTACCAACCAGGGTGATGGTTAGCAGCCCCCAACTCCACCCACTCACTGAGCTGGAAGCACAACACCAGGGATCGGTGTTGGCCCTCAGTGGGTGGAGGCAGGGGCCTGGAGTATGACTAGACACCAGTAGGGAGAGAAGGGCACAGATGGCCGAGGGTTTTGGATAGCAGAGCCCTCAAAGCCTGCTCAAAGTTTCAAAATCAAGTGTCTCTTTTCCAAGCCATTTGTGAGCCTCCCAAACCAGGTGGCTTGGGCAGGACCTGATGCAAATGTTGGGGAAAGGGTCCACACTGGCTCATCAATAGGGAGGGGTCTCATGGCAACATCAGAAAGATAGGTAGTGTGATGGGCTTGGTTTTGATAATGAATAACATGGAGACACTTTTGGTCTCCTTGTTAGAAGGCATTGGTGTAATGAAATGCAAACTTCCTTGCAGATGGGGGTAGAACCCTCTTGAGAAAGGCAGAAACTCCTAGAATGATCTTACCTGCGATATCACAGAGTTCTGCATCAGAAGCGTTGGCTAAGGCTTCCTCCAGCTCCGGCTCCAGAGTCACACTTTCCAGCACAGGATCCATTGGCTTCTGCTTGGGGACCCAGATCTTGCCTGCAAACACATGGGGTGCCCGTCAAGGTGTGCAGCTATGGTCCGGGTAAATCATGGGAGAGTCCTGTGAGGCCTTGAAGGTTTCTTGTCTGATGACCACCTTCCCCAGGGAATTGGAGTTGGGGGGTCCCAACAACACCCACACAGTTGAGGAGAATGGCTCTACAACTTGGTCAAAGTATACTATTCTAGCAAGAGAACTGGTCATGCCTCTAAACAACCTCTCTGTGGGAAAAACTACAAGAGGAAATATAATAGCATGCCAGGGGCTGAGAGACCTCTGACCATGGGTTCTCATGTGAGGGAGAAACTTGTAAACTTCTAAAAATATAAAAAACACACACTCAGATAAGATTATTAAAAGGCAAATAGGGAGCAAAAATGTATCCTAGCCTTATGGGACCTTATTTTTTTTAAGTGACAAGCTCATAACCCAATGAGGAAGGGAGTGGGGCCTGTGGATGGCTGCCGAGTGTCCACTTGAGGTTGGTGACAGTGTAAGTCAGAGTGAGCAACTCAATTCTATTTGTGAGAAATTCCATGTTATAATTTGTATATATCCCCTAGAGTCTCCATGATGGAAACCTAGTCCCAAAGTCATATGCAAATGGATGTATGGGGCCTGAGGGAGGTGATTAAGATTAGATGAAGGCCCAAGGTGGGGAGCCTCATGAAAGCACTAGTGTCTGACTGCAGAGGAAGAGACCCACACTAGCAGACTGCTTTGTCTTGCCCGGTGAGGTCCTCTACTGCACCACAGTATCACACAGCATGGACGCTCTCTTCAGCAATTAGACTTCCCAGACTATAGAACTGTAGAAATAAATTTTTTTCTTTACAAGTGATCTGTTTTTTCCTATTCATTTATAGTAACAGAGAATAGACTGTATGCATGTGTATATGTGGTGTGGGGTGTGTATGTACATGCATATATGTGGGTATGGTATGTGGGTTATGAGTATAGGTGTGGTATGTGTATGTGTGTGGCCTGAGTATAGGTGTGTGAGATACGTATTTATTCATGAAAGAAATTTACTAAGTGCTTTTTACATGCCAGGCACTTTTCTAGGGCTAAACAATAAATAAGACCTTTAAGAGCTTAAGAGCTTACAATTTAGAGTACTGAAACAGATAATAAGAAACAGGTGAGATTCCAGATGCAATGAGCATTGTGAAAGAAGACAAAGCCAGTCAAGGGCATAGGAAATGGCAGGATAGAGGTGGTCAGGGACAGCATCACTGAGATGATGGCCTGTTGGTGTGGGACCTGAGAGAAATTGGAAATGAGTACCTATGCATAGGAACAGGCATGGATATATACTTTTATTTTGCTGCTATTCAAGATTGTACTCAAAGTCCTAGTCAGAGTACACTAGAGACTATAAAAATAAACCACAGAAAGAAAAAAATGGAATTCAAACTGAAAAAATAAGTAAACTTATTTCTCTTTGTAGATGACATGGTCTTAATATGGAGAAAACTAAATTTCTACTATTAAATTCTGTGATGTTTCCAAGTATAAGATCAATGTACAAAAATAAATGGTGTTTCTGTACACCAGCAGTGAATAAATTTGCAAAAGAAATCAGGAAAGAAATTATATGTACAATATCATCCAAAGAGCAAAATACAAGGGAATGAATTTAAAAGAATTATACACTGCAAACTACAGTATGTTGTTAGAAGAAAATAAACATTTTATTCTTAAAAAACAATTAAATAAGGGAAATTCCTGAATTTATGGGTTGGAATACAATATTATTAAGATAGCAATAACATCCAAATCAATGTATAGATTAAATGCAATTTTTTTCAAAAGATAAAAAGACAGTTGTCAAATTTGTAAAGAATAGTAAGGAACCACAAAAAAAGCAAAACAATCTTAGACAAATTATAGAAGACTGACTTACTGATGTTGGAAACTTAACCACAAGCTAACCAATGTGGTACTGACATGAGGATAGACACAAAGGCAATGGAGTAGGATTTGGACTTCAGAAGCAAAACTAACCATCTGTGACAAATAGATTTTCAACAGCTGTGTCAAGTCCATTCAATGGGAAATGACTGTCTCTTTAACCAGTAGTGCTGATACAACTGGATATCTACATGTCAAAGAATGGAGCTGGATCCCCACCTCACACCACATACAAAAATGAACTTAACACAGATCAATAACCTAAATATAAGAACTAAAATTATACTATGTTTAGAAGAAAACACAGACATTAGTCATTATGACCTTATAATTGGCAATGAAGCCTTGAATACCCACAAAGGCACAATTAACAAAAAAGAAAAAATTAGATCAATTGGAATTGAAATGGAAAAATTCTGTGCTTCAAGATAGTGAGAAGACAACGGAAAGAAAATGAACAGACAGAAAGGAATAAAATATTCACAAACCATATCTGATAATGGTCCGATTTCCAGGATACGAAAAAATAATTTTATAATTCAACAATAAAAGACAAATGACTCTACTTTAAAATGGGCAAAGGACTGTGATGAGCATTTCTCCAAAGAGGACTTATACATAACTAACAAACCCATGACAAGATACCTAACATCACTGGCCACCAGGGATATGCAAAAACTAGGAGTGTGAAATGAGCATGATCAAAATACTTCCTATACCTATATGAAAACAATGTAATGAAACCCCTTACAACTGTTTAAAAATGGATGAGAGAGATAGGGAAGAGTAATAGAGGATATGAATTTGAACAGAGAACATTATATGCATGTATGGAAATTTCACCACAAAATTCTTTTGTACAATTAACATGTTAATTAAAAATTTAAAGTGGAAAATAGGCATTGGTAAAAATTAGGAAAATTGAAGCCTTTATATATTCCTTTTGAGGATGAAAAATGGTAGTCACTCCGGAAGATAATTTTGGGAGTTTCCTCAGAATTACACATGGAATTACTACATGATTCATCAGTTCTACTCTTAAGATACATACCCCCAAGGAATTGAAAACAGGTATTCCAACAAACACTTGCAGAAGAGTGTTGAATCACAGAAGGCAAATGATAGAAATAACTACCTAGTCAGGTCCCGTGGCTCATGCCTGTAATCCTAGCTACTCAGGAGACTGAAATCTGAGGATCATGGTTCAAAGCCAGCCCAGGCAGGAAAGTCTGTGAAACTCTTATCTCCAATAAACCACATAAAACCGCTGTGGCTCAAGCTGCAGAGCACTAGCCTTCAGCTGAAGAGCTGAACTCAAGCTGAGTTCAATCCCCAAGACCAACCAAAAAAAAGAAAAGAAAAGAAAGAACTATCTATCAGTGCATGAATGGATAAACAAAAATTTTGTTCAGTCATAAAAAGAAGCAAAATACTGACACCTATAATGTTTGAGTCTGGAAAAAATACTAAGCAAAAGAAACCAGACATACAAACTCATATTGGGTGATTTCACTTATAGAAAATATCTAGAAGTGGGCTGGGAATGTGGCTCAGTGGTAGAGCGCTTGCCTTGCATGTATGAGACCCTGGGTTTGATTCCTCAGCACCACATAAGCAAAAAGAAAAAAGCCAGAAGAGCTGCTGTGGCTCAAGTGGTAGAGCGCTAGCCTTGAGCTGAAGAGCTGAGGGAAAGCGCCCAGGCCCAGAGTTCAGGCCCCACGACCGGAACCCCCCCCCCCCAAAAAAAAAAAAAGAAAAAAAGAAAAAGAAAATATCTAGAAGTAAATCCAAAAATATATGTGAGGACCAGATGATGAGTGGAGGTCCCTAATTTTATTTTGGAGTGAGGAAAGCATTTTGGATCTAGATAGAGGCGGTGGCTGCACAGCCACACCATTGAAGTAATTTCATTTTATATGTCAGGTTTACTTCAACTGAAAACTCCTTGCTCACTTTGGCTGTTAATAGAGACTAGTCTGTAAAGAAGGGAGGATGAAGTAAGGAGAGGTGGTGACCGGGCTGTGCAATAGCACAGGTGAAAGATGTAACTTGGACCAGGAGTTTAGTGGAATAGGGCCAGAGGGCATACGAAGAATATAGAGAAATGCCTTCACTAAGGAAAGATCTTCACTAAAATGGAATTGGTACTTATTTTCCCATAGAAAAAATTACTCTGTCGTTTAAACTGTTTACAGCAGCAAATATCCATGATCTCTCCAAGCAAAACACATCACAAAATCATTGTGGGGAAAAATGTCTCGTGACCTCTATGCTAATATCAGATTCCAGAGATCTGGGAAAGAGGGAACATACAAGGAAAATAAAATGGCTAAAAAGGAACTCAGTCATGACAATGACTGGTGCCATGAATAAGGACAGGATAGTTTGGAGGAGAGAGGAAGGCCTGGAAGGGAGATATTTGGAGAGTTTCCCTGGGGGGAGCTCTAGAGGGCCTGTTTTATGCTGGAACAGTCTTAGAGAGACAGGCAAAGGAAGGGACAATGTAGTTGCCAGAATGAGAGAACTTTGGAGAAAAGAGCAGAAAGAATCAGAGTAGAAGGAGTTGGGTGACATCTCTTGTTACTTGTTTGTACAGGATGGCTTTGTTGGAGCCTCTGAGGGCCTGATGTTCTTTCATTCTCAAAAGGGTTGAGGTTTGGATGAAAACTAAGATACCCTACCAAAGGGAAATTGAGAAGTTTTGTTGGTCTAGGTGAATCTCTTTCCCAGTCCACCCAACATGGACTAAATCCATGCCGTGCATTGATGCTTTCAGGGTTGGGATTGTTGTGACATCTAGCTGATGCACATCCGGCCCAACCCCAGGCCCAGCACAAAGGTGCCCTCAGCAATGTCTGTGACTGACATGTTCATAAGAGTGTCTTGTTCAGTACCTCGTTTCTCCCCCGTGTAGGGGACCAAGTCTTCTCGGTCCTTAAATTCCTTGGCTTGTTTTTCCAAGTGATCCAAGAGCTCCTCTCTCTTAAAGGGGCCCGTGGGCGCCTTGGTGGTCTGGTCCTTCTGCCTCAGGCCCGCAGGCAGCAGAGCATTCTATGGTGGAGGTGATGGGCAGCAGCAGAGAGAGAAGAGAGAAAGAGAGAAAGAGAGAGCGGTCAACTGCTGCAGACTTGCAACTCCCCAGAACTCATCATAGACCAGCAGGGACCTCAGGGCTAGCAAAATCCACCCAAGTTCCTCCTTTACATGCGAAGAATGAGATAGCCCAAGAGAGATAGAGACTTCCCGTGGCCACCCGGGAGGCAGAAGCCAGCCAAGACAGGCTGGAGCTAAGAATTTCTTAATCCTCTGGTGTCCCTGCCTGTAACCTTTATAAAGGCCAGGGGTCAGGAGACAGGGGATCTCACACAGGCTGAGCACAGAGTGCTCAGGGCACCTGTCGAGTGGTAAGTAGGATTAAGTTGGAGTTGGATGTACAGAGACATTTAGAGCAGTGGTGTATCTAGTAGCTGGAGGGAGAAGCGGAAGGTGGGGGGGGGGGGTGTTGAAGCAGGGCCTTCGAATGTAGAATCAGGCATAAAGAGGTGGGACCCCGAATAAGTAGGAGAAAGGCTGGGCAGAGCCACAAGATGGGCAAGGCTGGAGAGGGATACCCTACTGGGCCTTGTAGGCTCTGGCGGGTGTATAGTCCTGATATGCTGGCTGTTAAATATTTTGAACGTCGCCCCTGGAGATGGGTCTCTTAAGAAAGATAGCACTGACCAATTGCTGCACTCTCTTCTTCAAACATGGGCAGGCTCTTAGGTGTGGGCTCGCTACCAAAGCAGATTCCTAATTAGGGTGGATGTGAATCTCGCTTTAATTCAGCCCCCAGGCTCCTTCAAGAGTCAAAGGAAGTGCTGGAAGCATGCTATAACCTGGTGCACGTAGCCTCTTTTCAAGACGAAGTGAGGGGAAGACTTGCTCTGGAGTTTCAGGGGCACATCAGGAACAAACTCAGGGTCTTCTCTTGGATTTGGAGCAGGCAAGCTTTATTTCTAATGCGTGTGCTTCCCCCCACCCTCACTCTCCTTACATCTGGAGGCAGGTGTGCAGCCTCCTGCTGAACCCCAGAATTGGCTAGGCTGGAGAGTCATTCCATCTGGAATCTCTGTGCCTACCAAATGCTTGCCTCCGAACTCTCACATGGTTCCTTTACTGAGCTCCTTAGATATGCTGTCCCGTTGTCCAACTACAGTACTCTCTCAGTAAGTATGAGTGCAAGTGTGTATGTATGTGTGTGTGTGTGTGTGTGTGTGTGTGCACACGCACAGAGTGCAAAGGCCCAGGGGTGGGGGGGGGTAAAGGGGTCCGAGGGTGGGGTTGGGGTACATGCGAATTGATTTAGGCCAGAGATGCTAGGGCATTTTATGAGAGCCTTTGCTGACTTGGGGGTGGGTGAGGCTGCACATGCCCCAGTTTTTCTTAAGCACTGGTTTTCAGCTATGGTTCATCATGGCAGGCAGGACAGGTGGTGCTCCTAGATGAGCCACGCCTCAGCAGGCAGGTCCGTGTAGATGGTATTTCCTGCGGCCAAGCTGTGTGTGTCTACTCAGGATGCTTCCTGAGAGCAAGTGAGTGAGGACACCCTTCGCTGCCCTGTAGGACCTGTCTGCGGCTGTCCATGGCTAAGCCAGCAGCTCTGTGGCCTGCCTGCACTTCACAACTGAGCTCATGGCAAGCTTTGCCCCACCTGGTAACCACTGTGACCTTGGGCAAGTCCCCTAACTGCACTGTAGGAAAGGTGAACACTGACAGCAGCTCTCTCTTAGGAACTTTAAATGTAATGGCACAAGGAGAGTGCTCGGCCCAGTGCTGACATAGCCAGCACTCCAAAACCATAACTTGTTACCATCGTGATGAGAAGACAAAATACATTTTAGCAAATCAGTTGTCCAAATAAACACATGGTGGCAGGGAGTGATTCATCACTATCTTGATAGGAGAAATATACAGGGCTGGAGAATGGTTTGTAAACTTGCATCTCCCATCCTTTTTTTGTTGTTGTTGGTCATGGGGCTTGAACTTGGGGCTTGGGCGCTGTCCCTGAGCTCTTCAACTCAAGGCTAGTGCTCTACCACTTGAGCCACAGTGCCACTTCTGGTTTTCTGAGTGGTTTATTGGCAATAAGAGTCTCACAGACTTTCATGCTCAGGCTGACTTTGAGACGAGATCCTCAGATCTCAACCTCCTCAGTAGCTAGGATTACAGTCATGAGCCACCAGTGCCCGGCTGCATCCCTTTTTGAGTCTACCTGATGGCAGCCGCTGATTTAGATAAAGCAAGGTTTCTCAATCTCACAACGGCCATTTTGAGCTGACTGCACCCTCATTCTGGAGCTGCTCTGTGGATTGCAGATGATTCAGCAACCTCTCTGGTCTCTGGAGTCTGGAGGACTATTCTTCCTGGGCTGGCTTCAAACCATGATTTCTAGGTCTCAGCTTCTTGAGTAGTTAGGATTATAGGCGTGAGTCACCAGAGTCTGACTGAAGATTTTTTTTTTTAATGTATCTAAAATATCACTTGCATAGCATGTTAAAATATGGCTTTATTTAAGCACTTATTGGAAAAAGTTGATTTTTGTAAAACAAAAATGTTAAAGGTCTTTTCTAACAATCCATAGCGTCTCAATTTTTAAAAGGAAATGTGGACCGTATCCTCCTCCTTTGGGTTATTTTCTTTCCATTAAAGGGTACATTTAATGAAGTATCACATGGTTTTCATTTAGAACCAAAGATAGTCACATACTTTTAAGCGCTTATTTATCACTTTAACTTGCTTTCAAAATCAGCACATGACCTCACACTGTATATAAATATTAACTTAAAATGGATCAAAGACCTAAAACTATAAAACTCTTAGAAGAAAGCATAGGCATAAATAAATCTCTGTGACTCTGGACTAGGCAATGGTTTCTTAGATATGACAGAAAAACAATAAGCAACAAAGGGAAAAAATAGATGTATTGGATAGACTTCACGGAAATTAAAAACATGTGTGCTTAAAAGACATTAGTGAAAAGACACACTGGGATAAGTATTTGTAAGTCATTTATCTGATAAGACTCTAATATGTAGAATACATACATTTCTCTTATGATCTTATAAGGCAAGTAAGCTGATTAAAAATGGGTAAAGTATCTGAATAGATCTCTCTCTAGAGAACATACGAAAATGTCCATCAAGCACAGGAGACTATAGCCAGCACCTTAGCCACCAGGCAAAGTGAATGAAGCCCAGAATGAGATCCTTCCTCATAGCCACTGTGATGGACACACCCAAAACACAGACAATAATAAGTGTTGGCAAGAATGTGGAGCACTGCTGAGCAGGGCTAGAAAATGATTCAGCCTCTTTGGAAATCACTCTGGCTGTTTACAAGAGAGTGAAACCTAGAATTACCAGAATGACCCAGATATTGCACGTATAGGTAGAAAAGAATTTATTTTTTTAATTTTAATTTTTATTGTGAAAATACTGTACAGAGGGGTTACAATTACATGGGAAAGATAATGAGTACATTTCTTATCAAGCATTGTAGCCTCCTCCTTTGTTTCCCCTTCCCATCCCTTCCCATTCTCCCCTCACCCCCCCACCCAACAGAAAAGAATTTAAAAGAAAGGTTCACCCTAAAGCTTGTACATGAATGCTCATAACAGCATTTTTCACAATAGCCCAAAGCAGAAAAAAGTTAAATGTCCATTGACTAATGTAAATGTATGCAATGATCACTCAGCCTGAAGATTCACAACATGAATGATCCTTGGAAATGTTTTCCTAAGTGAAGGAAGCCAGATGCACCAGGCTACATATATATGCCACATATTATATGAAACATCCAGAATAGTCAAATATACAGAGACAGAATGTAAATTAATGGCTGCTCTGGGGTTAGTACTATAGACTGAACTGTGTTCATCTCCTCATATGGAGAAGCCCTAACCCCCAATGTGATTGCATTTGGATATGAGGCATATAAGAAGGTAACTGGAATAAATGAGGTCACAAGGAAGGAGCTTTGATCCAACAGGGGTCAGGGCCTTGTAAAAAGAGACAATGGGACTGGGTGAGATGGCATATATTTGTAATCCCAGCCTGTGAGAAGCAAAGATGATGGATGGTTGTTGGCAGACAGCCTGAGATAAAAGTGCAATGCTCTATCTGAAAAATAACTAGAAGAGAATAGGCTAGGGGTGTAGCTTAAATGGTAGAGCCTAACAAGGGTAAGACCACAAGTTCAAAATCCCAGTAGCACATGAGAGGAAGAGAGCTTGCTGTAAGCCCCACTCCCCTGTCACCTACAAGCCAACATGGTGAGAAGACAGCCAACTAAAAGCTAGAAGAGAAAGCTCTACCAGAAACCAACCTTGCCAGCCTGGATCTGGGGTATGCCAGCATCCCCGCCCCCCGTGCTGCCCCAACCTGTTCTTTCTTTTCGTTTTGCCTGTTATGAAGCTTGAGCTCAGGCTCTGGGTGCTGTACCTAAGTTTTCTTACTCAAGGCTAGCCACAGTTTTACTTCTGATTTTTTTTTTAGTGGGGGCACAAGTCTCAAGGTCTGGCTGGACTGGCTTCAAACTTCGAACGTCAGATCTCAACCTCCTGGGTAGCTAGGATTACGGGCATGAAATATGCATTTCTTTTGCTTAAATCACTCAGCCTGAGCTAATTAAGCCAGCTAGGGCAGCTGGGGTACCGGGGAGTGAAGTTTCTTTCTGAGGTGATGAAAATGCTCTAAAATTGATTACGGTGATAGGTGTAGAACTATGAATATAATTTAAATGTTGGAATTGTGCACTTCCCCTTGGATAAATGGTGTGATATGTTTTTTCCCTAGGCAAGAGGGATCGAGATGGTTAAGTTGATAAACAAAGGAACCTGTAGTGGAAGGTTGAGAGGCAAGGGCTCTTCGAGAGGGAGGGCTAACAGTGGTACTGAGTCTTTCCAGGCTAGAGATGGTCCCATTAAAAACAAAGCCCTGTTTTTATGGTATCAATTAGATGTGGAAAGTTAAATGGGTAAGAAAATACTCCCTGGGCTCTCTCATGACTTTTAG